CTCAGAGAAAGGACTCCTCACCCAATCATACATTTGTGTTGAAAGAGAAGGAAAATAATATCAATTTTGCTCTGCAGTACATCCAAGTGGCTTTCAATTAGATTTGAAACTTGCTGGTATCCTTCCTCACTTCCAAGGCCAAGCAACAGAGGAAACATTTCCAGATTTCCTTTGACAACATGGCTTTTCCAAAGATTCAATTTCCTTTTAGATCCAAGTATCTTGTCACTTGAAGTCAGGATACAGTATATTCTTCACAACCTTGCAGAGACTTGTTCAGCAGGTTTATGTGATTAAAAATGTCAGCTAAGTATGCCAGTTTCTGCAGCCATCCTTCATCTTCAAAGCACTCTGACCTACTAATTTCTTGAAAGTACTCTTTAGGTTCTTCTTTCAGCTCAAACACTCTGCAGAACTCGTCCTCTGCTAAGCCACATGATTTCTATATGTAGCAAGAGAACCATGTGGTCCATCTGCATGCTTTCACAAAGTTTTTGAAACATTCTTGAGTGAACTGATCCTTGTTTATTAAAGTTCACCATTTTTGTTGCATCATCCAGAGCACTTTTCAGCACCAAGAGATTTGGGCATAAGCACTTCTTTATGAATAAAGCAGTGTGTTGTGACAACATTAGGGTTTTCTTTTTTTACAAGTGAAGAAAAGCCTATCATGGACCCAACTATTGATGGGCCACCATTAGTACACATTCCAACACAACAATTCCAAGACAGGCCTCGTGATTCCAGATAGGCAGACAAAACATTGAATATATCTTGACCTTTGGTTGTTTCAGGCAGCTCTTTGCAGCAGAAAAAGTTTTCTTGAATTTCACCACTATTTTCAAATCGTACAAATGCTACAAGATTGCATTAGTGATCTTGGTGGACTCCTCAACTAGATAGCGAAGAAGTTTTTTTTCAGGATATCACACAAGACCCCTTCCACATCATGTGACATGTCATCAATATGCCGACTTATTGAACTGTCTGTGAGTGGAACCTTTACAATTTCTTTTACTGCAGCTGCTCCTAGCATGTGATATACAATAATTTTACATCCTGGCATTATTATATTCTCATCAACTGTGCGACTTTTTCTTTTCTGGACAAAATTTTTTGCCACCAAATAGCTTGTTTCCTGCACCTTTTTACTAATGTTAACCTTTTTTAACAGAAGCTGTACTGTACTTGCTTTGAGATTCCAATAGCCGTTTGAAATAATCAGCACCTTTAGGTACCAAATGGCTGTGGTTTGTAGTAAAGTGTAGACATGTGCGGTTCATTTTGTTCCAAATTAAATTTCGGACAAATTCTATCATTATTCGTATATTTGGATGTATCAGAATTCCGAATTACAAAAATAATGAATTTAAACGAATCTGAAATAACAAAACAAAATTTGATAGAAATTAATAGAAATTTGAAAACAAATTCGGCCGAAATTAGCAATTTGAAAACAAACTCACACAAATTTATTCCACCCAAAAGGGGAAGTTCTGCTTTAAGGACTGCCCCCCCAATCCCCGTTAAGGATTGGCACCCTTGGGGAGCGGGTACCCGAAACTGACAGGTACCCGCTCCCACTTCCTAGGCGATTGGAAGTGGAAGTTATCCTCTCCCCCTTCCCTGTAGTGTTCCAGGATACGTAACAGGTCCAGAAGACTACAGGACCATTCACAAAGCACAGCACTACTCTGGCATAGGCAGTGAGCAGTGCAGCCGCAGGCTGCCACAGCTGGGTGTTCAAACTGAAGATGCCCATGCCTGGGAACATAGGACGGCCGGTGAAACAGCTGCAGAGAGGACACGCGGGATCGGGGGACAGGTAAGTGTCCATTTTTTAAAAGTCAGCAGCTACAGTTCTTGCTTTAAACTTGAATCTGAAAAGAAGAATATGCTTAGAAAATCAAACGGATATACTTGAAATGAAAATTCTCTAATGAAAATCTATACGTGTATGGCCAGCTTAGCAATTAGAAAATCAAATGAATATTCTTTATACTAATATTCTCAGCCAAAAATCTGCACGTGTATGGCCAGCCTTAAGCCCCGTACACACGATGAGAATATCAGATGAACGATTGTCTGTTTTTTTTTCGCCTGCTAGTCTCACATCGAAAGTGAAAAGGTTACTAAGATACGAAAATTCTCGTATGAAAGGAAAGAATTTCGAAAGTGATGTCATGTATTTGTATTTTATTTTCGGACGAAAACTGTACTGAGTAAATGAAAATCGTACAATCTGGTATCGTTGTGCTTGCCTTTAAGGATATTGTCGCACAAATTGTCATGATCAGCTTTTGAAAGCTGTGTACCAACAATTCGATTATCGGACGATCGGTCCTTGTACAAAAATGTTTGTATGATTTTCTTATTGCGTGTACGTGGCATTAAGCTGGCCATACACATGTAGATTTTCGACCGAGAATATTCGTAAAAAAAAGTCTTTGATGAATGGTTGAATGACGTTAAAAAAATGGTCTTATGCTTTTAACATTTGATTTTAAAATGAATGTTATTTCAGAATGATCACAACATGCACAGGCCAAAAATTATTTTGATCGAGAAAAGTTTTCCTTCCTGCCCCTTTGAATTTTTCCTTCACTGCTGACGAAAAAAAACTTCTATTTGACACCACTAATGGTTAGAAAATCAAAGGAATATTCTTGAAATTAATATTCTCAGATGAAAATCTACACGTTTGTGGCCAGCTTTACTTTTAGAATTCAGTCCAATTTTTTCAAATTCGGTTGAAATCTTTTCGATTACAAACGAAATTTAGAATTTTGTTGAATCAATTTCAATTAGGGCAGCACAGTGGCTAAGTGGTTAGCACTTCTGCCTGGCAGTACTAGGGTCGCAGGTTCAAATCCCAACCACGGCACCACCTGCCTGGAGTTTGCATGTTCTCCCTGTGCCTGCGTGGGATTCCTCCGGGTACTCCGGTTTCCCCCCACACTCCAAAGACATGCTGGTAGGAAAATTGGCTTCTGTCTAAATTGTCCCTAGTATGTGTTTGTATGAATGTAAGTTAGGGACCTTAGATTGTACACCCCCTGAGGGTTAGGGACTGATGTGAATGTACAATACATGTAAAGCACTGCGTAAATTGATGGCGCTATATAATTACCTGAAATAAATACATTTCAAATTTGATTGAACCTATTTCGAACGACTTTTCAAAATTGATCTAAATGTTTTCGAATTGAATTAGAATACGAATTACCAAAACGAATCCCAAAAACGAATTGAATGAATTTATCGAATCCAACTACATGAAATTTGTTAGATTTCGAATCGAAACAAAAGTAATTTATTTTGTTTTGTGCATGTCTAGTAAAGGGTCTTTTCAGTTTTGCTTGAGGCATTGCTGTATTTGTAAGTTGTTTGCCACTGATAAGGCAAAATGGAATAGGACAATGTGGATCACCTGTCCATGAAAAACCCAAAGTTATGTAACTTTCACTGTAAAGGTGGACTTTTTTGGGGTCAAGTACTGGGCTGGTGCATACAAGGGACTCAGCATGTTGTAATTCTTCCTCACTAGCCTTATCAGAATTTTCTGTAGTAGAAGATGAAGGTGTACTATCCTCCTCTGGTACCTCACTTCTCCTCCTCACAAAACGCCACATTGGAACTTGAGCCATTTTGTTTTTAACACAACTAACAAAAAATCACAATGGTATATTTCTGTAAGTCAATCACACTATCACTAATATCAACAACTGTGCAGTATATAGCAAAAGAATTTCTGCAATGCAATTATTGCACATATTTGGTTATCTATTTTGGTGCACAAATATCGCATAGTTGAAAAACTCAACTTATCTGTACCTGTCTTTGTAAGGGCACAAATACAACTTTTTTCTGTGTGCATAGGCACAGTACAATGTGGAGGACAGGGCACAGTACAATGGGGCACAGTACAATGTGGAGATCATCAGGGCACAGTACAATGTGGAGCTCATTAGGGCACAGTACAAAGTGGAGGTCATCAAGGCACAGTACAATGTGGAGATCATAAGAACACAGTACAATGTGGAGATCATCAAGGCACAGTACAATGTGGAGGTCATCAGGGCACGTTGTGGAGGTCATCAGAGCACAGTACAATGTGAAGGTCATCAGGGCACAGTACAACGTGCAGGTCATAAGGGCACAGTAAAATGTGTAGGTCATCAGAGCACAGTACAATGTGGAGGTCATCAGGGCACAGTACAATGTGGAGGTCATCAGGGCATGGTACAATGTAGAGATCATCAGGGCACAATACAATGTGGAGGTCATTAAGGCACACTACAATGTGGAGGTTATCAAGGCACGTTGTGCAGATCACCAGGGCACAGTACAATTTGGAGATCAGGGCATGGTACAATGTGAAGGTCATAAGGGCACAGTACAATGTGGAGGTTATCAAGGCACGTTGTGGAGATCATCAGGGCACAGTACAATTTGGAGATCATAAAGGCACGGCACAATGTGGAGGTCATCAGGGCACAGTACAATGTGGAGGTCATCAGAGCACATTGTGGTGGTAATCAGGGCACAGTAGAATGTGGAGGTCATCAGGGCAAAGTACAATGTGGAGGTAAGCAGAGCACAGTACAATGTAGAGGTCAGCAGGGCAGAGTACAATGTGGAAATCATCAGGGCACAGTACAGTGTGGAGATCATTAGGGCACAGTACAATGTGGAGGTCATAGGCACAGTACAATGTGGAGATCATCAGAACATAGTACAATGTGGAGATCCAGGCCCAGTACAATGTGGTGGTCATTAGGGCACGTTGTGGAGGTCATCAGGGCACGGTACAAAGTGGAGATCATCATGGCACAGTAAAATTTGGAGATCATCAGGGCACAATACAATGTGGAGGTCATTAGGGCACAGTACAATGTGGAAATCATTAGAGCACAGTACAATGTGGAGGTCATAAGGGCACAGTACAATGTGGAGAACATCAGGGCACAGTACAATGTGGAGAACATAAAGGCACAGTACAATGTGGAGGTCAGCAGGGCACAGTACAATGTGGAGGACAGCAGGGCACAGTACAATGTGGAGATCATCAGGGCACAGTACAATGTGGAGGTCAAAAGGGCACAGTACAATGTGGAGGTAATCAGGGCACAGTACAATGTGGAGGTCATCAGGGCACATTGTGGAGGTCATCAGGGCACAGTAGAATGTGGAGGTGATCAGGGCAGAGTACAATGTGGAAATCATCAGGGCACAGTACAATGTGGAGGTCAGCAGGGCACATTACAATGTGGAGGTCATCAGGGCACAGTACAGTGTGGAGATCATCAGGGCACAGTACAATGTGGAGGTCATCAAGGCACAGTACAATGTGGAGATCATCAGAACATAGTACAATGTGGAGATCCAGGCCCAGTACAATGTGGTGGTAATTAGGGCAGGTTGTGGAGGTCATCAGGGCACGGTACAATGTGGAGATCATCAGGGCACAGTACAATTTGGAGATCATCAGGGCACAATACAATGTGGAGGTCATCAGGGCACAGTACAATGTGGAGGTCATAAGGGCACAGTACAATGTGGATAACATCAGGGCACAGTACAATGTGGAGAACATCAAGGCACAATACAATGTGGAGGTCAGCAGGGCACAGTACAATGTGGAGATCATCAAGGCATAGTACAATGTGGAGGTCAGCAGGGCACAGTACAATGTGGAGATCATCAGGGCCCAGTACAATGTGGAGGTCAACAGGGCACAGTACAATGTGGAGGTAATCAGGGCACAGTACAATGTGGAGGTCATCAGGGCACATTGTGGAGGTCATCAGGGCACAGTAGAATGTGGAGGTGATCAGGGCAGAGTACAATGTGGAAATCATCAGGGCACAGTACAATGTGGAGGTCAGCAGGGCACATTACAATGAGGAGGTCATCAGGGCACAATACAATGTGGAAATCAAAAGGGCACAGTACAGTGTGGATATCATCAGGGCACAGTACAGTGTGGAGATCATCAGGGCACAGTACAATGTGGAGGTCATCAAGGCACAGTACAATGTGGAGATCATCAGAACACATTACAATGTGGAGATCATCAGAACACAGTACAATGAGGAGATCAAGGCACAGTATAATGTGGAGGTCATCAGGGCACGTTGTGGAGGTCATCAGGGCACAGTACAATGTGGAGGTCATCAGGGCACGGTACAATGTGGAAATCATCAGGGCACAGTACAATGTGGAGGTCATCAGGGCACAGTACAATGTGGAAATAATCAGGGCCGGTACAATGTGGAGATCATCAGGGCACGGTACACTGTGGAGGTCATCAAGGCACAGTACAATGTGGAGATCATCAGAGCACAGTACAATGTGCAGATCATCAAGGCACAGTACAATGTGGAGGTCATCAAAGCACATTGTGGAGATCATCAGGGCATAGTACAATGTGGAGATAATCAGGGCACAGTACAATGTGGATATCATCAGGGCACAGTACAATGTGGAGATTATCAGGGCACAGTACAATGTGGAGGTCATAAGGGCACAGTACAATGTGGAAATTATCAGGGCACAGTACAATGTTGAGATCATCAGGGCACAGAACAATGTGGAAATCATCAAGGCACAGTACAATGTGGAAGTCATCAGGGCACACTGTGGAGGTCATTAGGGCACAGTAGAATGTGGAGGTCATAAGGGCACAGTACAATGTGGAGATCATCAGGGCACATTGTGGGATCATCATCAGGGCACAGTACAATGTGGAGATCATAAAGGCACAGTACAATGTGGAGGTCAGCAGGGCACGGTATAATGTGGAAATCATTAGGGCACAGTACAAAGTGGAGATCATCAGGGCACATTACAATGCGGAGAACATCAGGGCACAGTACAATGTGGAAGTCATCAGGGCACATTGTGGAGATCATCAGGGCACAGTACAATGTGGAGATCATCAAGGCACAGTACAATGTGGAGGTGAGCAGGGCACAGTACAATGTGGAGATCATCAGGGCAAAGTAGAATGTGGAGGTCATCAGGGCACATTGTGATGGTCATCAGGGCAAAGTACAATGTTGAGGTCAGCAGGGCACAGTAGAATGTGGAGGTGATCAGGGCAGAGTACAATGTGGAAATCATCAGGGCACAGTACAATGTGGAGGTCAGCAGGGCACAGTAAAATGTGGAGGTCATCAGGGCACAGTACAATGTGGAAATCAAAAGGGCACAGTACAGTGTGGAGATCATCAGGGCACAGTACAGTGAGGAGATCATCAGGGCACAGTACAATGTGGAGGTCATCAAGGCACAGTACAATGTGGAGATCATCAGAACACAGTACAATGTGGAGATCATCAGAACACAGTACAATGAGGAGATCAAGGCACAGTACAATGTGGAGGTCAGCAGGGCACAGTACAATGTGGAGATCATCAGGGCACAGTACAATGTGGAGGTCATCAGGGCACATTAAAATGTGGAGGTCAGCAGGGCACAGTACAATGTGGAGGTCATCAGGGCACATTGTGGTGGTCATCAGGGCACAGCAGAATGTGGAAGTCATCAGGGCAAAGTACAATGTCGAGGTTAGCAGCAGGGCAAAGTACAATGTGGAGGTCAGCAGGGCACAGTACAATGTGGAGGTCAGCAGGGCACAGTACAATGTGAAATCATCAGGGCACAGTACAATGTGGAGATCATCAGAACACAGTACAAAGTAGAGATCATCAGAACACAGTACAATGTAGAGATCCAGGCACAGTAAAATGTTGTTGGTCAATAAGGGTACGTTGTGGAGGTCATCAGGGCACGGTACAATGTGGAGATCATCAGGGCACAGTACAATGTGAGATCATCAGGCACAGTACAATGTGGAGGTCATCAAGGCACAGTACAATGTGGAGGTCATCAAGGCCCAGTACAATGTGGAGATCATCAGAACACAGTACAATGTGGCGATCAAGGCACAGTACAATGTGGAGGTCATCAGGACACATTGTGGAGGTCAGCAGGGCACAGTACAATGTGGAAGTCATCAGGGCACAGTACAATGTGGAGATCAATGCACAGTACAATGTGGAGGTCATCAGGGCACGTTGTGGAGGTTATCAGGGCACGGTACGATGTGGAGATCATCAGGGCACAGTACAATGCGGAGGTCATCAAGGCACAGTACAATGTGGAGGTCATCAGGGCACAGTACAATGTCCATATTGTACTGTGTTTTGATGATCACTCCACATTGTACTTTGTTCTTATAATCTCCAGAAATTTTCCGTGCCTTGATGACCTCCACAGTGTGCTATGCCCTGATGACCTCTACAATGTGGAGGTCAGCAGGGCACAGTACAATGTGGAGATCATCAGGGCACAGTACAATGTGGAGGTCATCAGGGCACATTAAAATGTGGAGGTCAGCAGGGCACAGTACAATGTGGAGGTCATCAGGGCACATTGTGGTGGTCATCAGGGCACAGCAGAATGTGGAAGTCATCAGGGCAAAGTACAATGTCGAGGTTAGCAGGGCAAAGTACAATGTGGAGGTCAGCAGGGCACAGTACAATGTGGAGGTCAGCAGGGCACAGTACAATGTGAAAATCATCAGGGCACAGTACAATGTGGAGATCATCAGAACACAGTACAAAGTAGAGATCATCAGAACACAGTACAATGTAGAGATCCAGGCACAGTAAAATGTGAGGTCATAAGGGTACGTTGTGGAGGTCATCAGGGCACGGACAATGTGAGAGATCATCAGGGCACAGTACAATGTGGAGATCATCAAGGCACAGTACAATGTGGAGGTCATCAAGGCACAGTACAATGTGGAGGTCATCAAGGCCCAGTACAATGTGGAGATCATCAGAACACAGTACAATGTGGCGATCAAGGCACAGTATAATGTGGAGGTCATCAGGACACATTGTGGAGGTCAGCAGGGCACAGTACAATGTGGAAGTCATCAGGGCACAGTACAATGTGGAGATCAATGCACAGTACAATGTGGAGGTCATCAGGGCACGTTGTGGAGGTTATCAGGGCACGGTACGATGTGGAGATCATCAGGGCACAGTACAATGCGGAGGTCATCAAGGCACAGTACAATGTGGAGGTCATCAGGGCACAGTACAATGTCCATATTGTACTGTGTTTTGATGATCTCCACATTGTACTTTGTTCTTATAATCTCCAGAAATTTTCCGTGCCTTGATGACCTCCACAGTGTGCTATGCCCTGATGACCTCCACATTGTACTGTGAACGTTGTGGAGATCATCAGGGCACAGTTCAATGTGGAGGTCAGCAGGGCACAGTAGAATGTGGAGGTCAGCAGGGCACAGAAGAATGTGGAAATCATCAGGGCACAGTACAGTGTGGAGATCATCAGGGCACAGTACAATGTGGAGGTCATCAGAACACATTAAAATGTGTAGATCAAGGCACAGTACAATGTGGAGCTCATCAGGTCACCTTGTGGAGGTCATCAAGGCCCAGTACAATGTGGATATCATCAGAACACAGTACAATGTGGCGATCAAGGCACAGTACAATGTGGAGGTCATCAGGACACGTTGTGGAGGTCATCAGGACACGTTGTGGAGGTCAGCAGGGCACAGTACAATGTGGAGATCAATGTACAGTACAATGTGGAGGTCATCAGGGCACGTTGTGGAGGTTATCAGGGCACGGTACAATGTGGAGATCATCAGGGCACAGTACAATGTGGAGGTCATCAAGGCACAGTACAATGTGGAGGTCATCAGGGCACAGTACAATGTCCATATTGTACTGTGTTTTGATGATCTCCACATTGTACTTTGTTCTTATAATCTCCAGAAATTTTCCGTGCCTTGATGACCTCCACAGTGTGCTATGCCCTGATGACCTCCACATTGTACTGTGAACGTTGTGGAGATCATCAGGGCACAGTACAATGTGGAGATCATCAGGGCACAGTACAATGTGGAGATCATCAGGGCACAGTTCAATGTGGAGGTCAGCAGGGCACAGTACAATGTGGAGGTCAGCAGGGCACAGAAGAATGTGGAGGTCAGCAGGGCACAGAAGAATGTGGAAATCATCAGGGCACAGTACAGTATGGAGATCATCAGGGCACAGTACAGTGTGGAGATCATCAGGGCACAGTAGAATGTGGAGGTCATCAGAACACAGTAAAATGTGAAGATCAAGGCACAGTACAATGTGGAGGTCATCAGGCCACGTTGTGGAGGTCATCAGGGCACAGTACAATGTGGAGGTCATCAGGGCACAGTATAATGTGGAGGTAATCAGGGCATAGTACAATGTGGAAATCATAAGGGCACGGTACAATGTGGAGATCATCAGGGTACGGTACACTGTGGAGGTCATCAAGGCACGGTACAATGTGGAGATCATCAGAACACAGTACAATGTGGAGATCATCAAGGCACAGTACAATGTGGAGGTCATCAAGGCACATTGTGGAGGTCATCAGGGCATGGTACAATGTGGAGATCATCAGGGCACAGTTCAATGTGGAGGTCAGCAGGGCACAGTACAATGTGGAGATCATCAGGGCACAGTTCAATGTGGAGGTCAGCAGGGCACAGTACATTGTAGAGATCATCAGGACACAGTTCAATGTGGAAATCATCAGGGCACAGTACAGTGTGGAAATCATCAGGGCACAGTACAGTATGGAGATCATCAGGGCACAGTACAATGTGGAGGACATCAGAACACAGTAAAATGTGGAGATCAAGGCACAGTACAATTTGGAGGTCATCCGGCCACATTGTGGAGGTCATCAGGGCACAGTACAATGTGGAGTTCATCAGGGCACAGTAGAATGTAGAGATCATCAGGGCACAGTACAATGTGGAGGTCATCAGGGCACAGTATAATGTGGAAGTCATCAGGGCATAGTACAATGTGGAAATCATAAGGGCACGGTACAATGTGGAATCATCAGGGTACGGTACACTGTGGAGGTCATCAAGGCACAGTACAATGTGGAGATCATCAGAACACAGTACAATGTGGAGATCATCAAGGCACAGTACAATGTGGAGGTCATCAAGGCACATTGTGGAGGTCATCAGGTCACGGTACAATGTGGAGATCTTCAGGGCACAGTACAATGTGGAGGTTATCAGGCACAGTACAATGTGGAAGTCATCAAGGCACTTTGTGGAGATCATCAGGGCACAGTACAATGTGGAGATCATCAGGGCACAGTATAATGTGGAAGTCATCAGGGCACAGTACAATGTGGAGGTCATCAGGGCACAGTACAATGTGGAAATCATGAGGGCACAGTACAATGTGGAGGTTTTCAGGGCACAATACAATGTGGAGATCATCAGGGCAAAGTACAATGTGGAGGTTATCAGGGCACTTTGTGGAGGTCATCAGGGCACAGTAGAATATGGAGGTCATCAGGGCATGTTGTGGAGATCATCAGCTCACAGTACAATGTGGAGATCATCAGGGCACGGTACAATGTGGAGGTCATCAGTGCACGGTACAATGTGGAGATCATTAGGGCACAGTACAATTTGGAAATCATCAGGGCACAGTACAATGTGGAGGTCATCAGGGCACAGTATAATGTGGAGATATCATCAGGGCACAGTACAATGTGGAGGTCATAAGGGCACGGTACAATGTGGAAATCATCAGGGCACGGTACAAAGTGGAGATCATCAGGGCACGGTACAAAGTGGAGATCATCAGGGCACGGTACAATGTGGAGATCATCAGGGCACGGTACAATGTGGAGATCATCAGGGCACGGTACAATGTGGAGGTCATCAGGGCACAGTACAATGTGGAAATCATCAGGACACAGGACAATGTGGAGATCATCAGGGCACAGTACACTGTGGAGGTCATCAAGACACAGTACAATGTGGAGATCATCAGAACACAGTACAATGTGGAGATCATCAAGGCACAGTAGAATGTGGAGGTCATCAGGGCACGTTGTGGAGGTCATCTGCGCACGGTAGAATGTGGAGGTCATCAGGGCACGGTAGTAGAATGTGGAGATCATCAGGGCACGGTACAATGTGGAGGATCATCAGGGCACGGTACAATGTGGAGGTCATCAGGGCACAGTACAATGTGGAGATCATCAGGGCACAGTACAATGTGGAGATCATCAGGGCACAGTACAATGTGGATGTCATCAAGGCACAGTACAATGTAGAGATCATCAGGCACAGTACAATGTGGAGATCATCAGAACACAGTACAATGTGGAGATCAAGGCACAGTACAATGTGGAGGTCATCAGGGCACACGGTACAATGTGGAGGTCATCAGTGCATGGTACAATGTGGAGATCATTAGGGCACAGTACAATTTGGAAATCATCAGGGCACAGTACAATGTGGGAATCATCAGGGCACAGTACAATGTGGAGGTCATCAGGGCAAAGTAGAAAAAACTATTTTGATAAAAAAACAATAATTTTGACTTTTTGCTATTAAACATGTCGAAGAAAAAAGTTTAAAATATCAAATTCGTGATATATTTAAGCCAAAATGTATTCTGAAACATGTCTTTGCTAAGAAATAATGCCAATACGTGTAAATTAATTGGTTTATGTGAAAGTTATAGCATTTACAAATGGCTGTATATATACTGGGATTTTTAATTTTTTTTATTTTTACTAGTAATGATGGCGATCAACGACTTATTGCGTAGGACATTCTAACACTGGGGGAAACTGTCTTGGTGTCACTGACATCGCCATTAACACTAATACAATGATCAGTGCTAAAAAAGGCACTGACGCAGTACTAATGGCACTTGGCAGGAAGGGGTTAACATGAGGGGTGATCAAAGGGTTAACTGTGTGCAGGGAGTGTTTTATTAGGAGGAGGTGTCTGTGTGCTTCACTGTAAGCACAAGCTGACAGGGAGGAGAACTGTTAGTAAACAAAACAGTTCTCCTCCCCATCGGAGACCCTTGGTAATGACCGGGCACCAGCAAGTAATCACTGGCCAGGACCTGGTGATTGACAGCTGCAGCCACGAATGGCAACGCAGGTAAGGTGCGCACGCTCCCTACCCAGTAATGCAAAATCACGTATATATACGTGATTTTGTGCACTTGTGCCACCCTGTAGCAGTCGGGAAGCGTTTAAAAAAAGCTGAAAAAAAATAAAAAATTCACAAGACAGCAGTGTTATGATGTGAACAGAGCACATAGGAAACAAAGGGGTTGATTTACTAAAACTGGAGAGTGCAAAATCTGGTTCAGCTCTGCAGAGAAACCAATCAGCTTTCAGTTTTTTTGTCAAAACTTAATTGAACAAGCTGAAGGTAGAAGCTGATTGGTTACCATGCAGAGCTGCACCGGAGCACATTGCACAGTGCAGGGGGGGGCAGATAGCCACTGACTGTACAATAGGTCAGGAGCTCACCTTCCAATTGAGCCACATATTCCTGTTCGGTCAGTGCTGTCATATACAAGCCAAAATCAACCTCCTTCTTCAGCTCCCGCTCTCTGCACTCCCTCCTGCTCTGCTCCCTGACTTTATAGGAGCCAGAACTATAAAGGAATCACTGGGTATTCATGCACACTGACAATACTACCTGCCAGCACTCATTTTGCACAGCATTGAAAATATATTTGCTGTATACATCCGCCATAATGTAGATTTGCTGCAGAACCCCTGGGGACTGCAGACCACTGGTTGAGAAACACTTCCGCTTGGGATGTAGTCTCTGAAGCACTACTCTCACTGGTTGCCTCGATCAACAACATGTTACCACTTCACCCTGTGCGTGCATGCACCCCTGTTCTTTTATACACCATTACTACCATGCACCCCTTTTTAAGTAACTTTGGACCAGGCTAGGACAAAGGTTCAAAGCTTTACTTGAATGATAAGGAATAGTAAGAATCACAGGATAACAATTCAACAATAAATGCAGTCTTTTCCTAACATCCTAGTCTGTAACTACAGGCTTATGGCTGCCCAGCATACCTGCACAGGAAAGAGGCCCTTTTTGGCCAAGTCCCTGGTTGGTTTCTTCGGGGGGGGACTGAAAGTCCTTGCAATCCCCCTACATATGGAAGGCTCAGGACACAGATTGTAGCAGCTTTGCTGGAATCAGGAGCAAAAGCTCTCTCCCACATCTTGCTGGCTGGCTGTACCTTTCCTTCCCTTGAAGCAAACTGTGTATTGTGGGACTACAGGTCTCAGCAGCCCTAGTCATGTCAGCAGCTCCTCAGACATCAATACTCTGTGATGGCAATCAGGATAGAGATATCTAAAGGCAGAGAGGAGCAGGGTTTCCCTACCCCCTTGGGAAAGTGGTTGCTGGAGGTACAGATTACATTGTAGCAGACAGCCCTCTCTCTTCTCCCATGGGGAAGGACTGGTCTGGGCAAAGCTCTCTCTTGAATCTATATGCAAGCAGAGCGCAGCAACAGTCCACCAAAAACAGAGACAGAGATCCAGAAAGAAGTTAACCCTTTCCCTCCCTGTCAGGCAGCAGCTAACTAGCACTTCAACCTGCTTATACTCTGAATAGTGTCTTTCAGATGACTCTACAGATCCAAAATAATGCCTTTTGGGCGTATTAAATGATGTGGCCCCGCAACTGCATTTAAAAGAAGCACTTAGGCATTATTTCAAGCGTGTAAATTGGTACTCTAACACTGGAAAGCAGAGTTCGCTCCCACAGTGGATACTCAGTGTAAGTGCAACAGTAAGGTATGAATGCCTGATTTATCTGCATTGTGTTGCCCTGCCAAATTTGATAAGCTATGAAATGGCTGGTTGAGCACACCTGCCCTTTCTCCATTTGATAAGCGAAACAAAAAGAAAGCGCACCAACCTTGCGCATTACCTCAGTAAAATGTGATTGAAAAACAGAGAAGTATAACAAGCGTATAAGATCCTTAACGAGACACTAGGAGTGTGAGACCAGCACGAGTCTTATCACGAGGGAAGATTCTCAAAGTCAGGCAGCCGTGTTTCAAAGCGAGTCCCTTCTTCACCAGAGCATTTATGCATTGGTGGTGAATTTCTTCAAGTTCCGTGTCCATCTATCCACCCTTGCTCTGGGCCATAGAGCGCAGTAGGTGTTGTTTTTGTTTCCACTGGCACACTTTCTCCATTTGATCTTGTGATGTACAGACTTTTATGATATTTAATTCTGCTTTTTTTATTTACCTCGGTTGGTCCCTACACCCACCACCCTCTTCTTCTCTGGGAACCAACATTTATGGGTTTTATTACTTGTGCATTAGTAAACCTCTAAATGTCTCATAATGCTTTTTGCGAGAACTGTGACAATGGTTTGCTGTGATTACTCAGTACGTTGTAATGCTACCTATTTAAAATGCTGGCTTTGGAGATTTTTCTTATTTTTTTTTAATACAAATCTGTATGCATTTGCTGGAAGTTATTGTTTGGATTTCCTGCTGTTACTGTTTGAGTTTTTCTAATAAAGCTCTTTTCTTTTGCTGTTTTAGGTTTTTGATCTGACTTTCAATTTTGCATTATTTGTTAGGTATTGCAGGATGCCCCTACTTACTATGGCTTCTGAGAACTCTAGGAACAATCTCCCTGTTGTCACTTGATTTTGTGCTCTTTCTCCTTTAGTGCATGAAACTATGTGCACACAGCCCAGTTTGTTTGGAAACATGTTTACTCAGTTATATCAGCAAAGGAATGAGCATGACTTTGCATCGTATTGGTGCATAGGAAAACTTTGAACCAGGAATGAGTTTGACCAGGGCTTTTTGTTCTGCTGGAACTTGTTGAAACTCAGTTCCGCCACCTCTGGCTCAAGCCCTTTGCTCTCTTCTCACAGCTATAAGTGCAAACACAGAAGTCAACCACTGTGTTTACAAGTGACAGGGTGTATCCCAATGGCTCCCACAGATCTGATCTT